TGTGTGTGTGTGTGTGTGTGTGTGTGTGTGTGTGTGTGTGTGTGTGTTGGAGAGTCTGCCCTTAGTCCAGGATTAGATAGATTCCTTCATTGGTGTCAGTCAGGGGGCCACTGAGGGACCTTTGGCTCCGAGGTCAGCAGTCTGATAGACCCTCCCTCCTCCCGCCCCTCACCTCCTCTTCATCTGCTCAACATTGAAGTCTGTGTTAAGACTTTGTAGAAAGAAAGTCTTTGTTTTACTTTTAGGGGGACTGTCCAAAAACAGTAACAAACTAGAAGGCAACCAATAATAACAACAACCACAATTTATCTGCAAATGATGAACTTACATCATGAACCTCTAAGACAGTGAGAGTGAATAATTCATACTATGTGATGTAATGTTACATCTATTAAAAGTAACCCTTTATTGGAGATTGAAGAAAGCTTAATCGTGTGTTGCATCTCGTTTATCTATAAGCCAAAGGTCTTCACAGTTATTTACTGCGCTTCTTAGATTCAGAGGATTCAGGAGGATGATGTGATTTTGTTGGAAAGTGGGTCTTGATTTGTTTTGAGAAGTAGACTATCGCTGCTGTTACTAATGCTTATTTTCATTATCCTGACGATTATTTTCATAATTAATCTATACATTTTTTTTGTCAATAAAATGTCAGAAAATAAAATAAATATTCAACACAGTTTCCCAGAGGCGGCCAACAATCCAAAACTCAAAGATGTTCAGTTTACAATCATATGAAAAACAACATGATGATTGGAGGGAGTTCCATGAAATAGCTCAACAAAACCTTGAAATATTATGCTGTACAGATGATGCTGTCCGCCTTTCTTATCTTTTATATTTTTGTAAACATATCTTTGGGTTTTGGACTGTTGGTCGGATGAAGGCAATTGAACACGTCGCATTGGGCTTCGGGACAATGAAGGTCTGAAGATTTGATTGTGAAAGTTGTTTTTGGTTTTCAGTAAGATGCATTTCATTCATATGTTGTGAATGAACGTGGATATTCTTTATTCACACACAGAGCAACCATACTGATGTTTTCACATCTAGAAGAGCAGCTTCTTTGCATGAATCATATCAGGGCTTCAGTGATGCGTTTGGAAAGATAAAGAGATGGAAACGAACAGAGCGGTTTGCTTATTGTTGTTTCAGAAACTCTAGTGAGAAGTTAAAGCACTCAAATATACTCAAGTATAGCATTTTAATATTGTTAAAGTCAGTGTTGCAGCTCTTAAAAGTGCTGTGGTTTGTTAGTGTGCTGTGTTTCTAGTGAGTAATCAACTCAATCTGACTGGTCTGCACTTTTTATTTCAGTAACAATTATTTAACTGTAACCAGTGCTGACAAATATCAGTTTTACTTGATGGCATCCTGAGAGAAACTCTCAACCAAATACAACTTATTTGTAACCGACAATATATCAGGGAAGAGGAATATGTAATTTAATCGTGAAATATCAACTTTGTATGCTTCTTGTGTCAGAATAACATTCTGCTAGTTGACAGGAGAGAGGTGGAGACTTGAATGAATGCTCTGAGTACATGAACCGCTGTGTCATGCTCCTAGACTCGTCAGGAAGCCTCCTCTTGCTCACTAGACAGCAGCTAATTGCATGTTGTTGAAACTAGAAACTCAGATGAACAAAGAGAGCAAGGGAGGAGCAGTGTTCGCTGCTGATCAATAAGTGTGGCCCGACGCTTTGTCTGCCTCATCTTGCCTGCCTCCGTCTCCGTCCTCCAGTTTACGCTCTTTCCATACTCCCACAGATTGACTGAATGTAGCAAAAGTTTCCCGACTTATGAGAGGTTTTTGTTTGTGACTCTTTTGCTTCTGTTTGGTCGTGATGATAGTGCAGATGTGATTGTTACTTCTCTGACCTGCATGAAGATTTAACAGCTGGTGTAATATCTGTGTGAATATCTGTACACCTTTAATGTCTGCACAAATCTGCAATAAGTAAAAAAAAAAAATACCACTTTAGATAATAAGGCACCATTGATAAAGGAGTTATAACTTGTAGCTTAGGGCTGTCCTCGACCAAAGAAACTCTCAGTTGACCAACACACTGTAAAACTGAGTTTCTCCATAAAGAATCACACAAAAGCACCACTTTAAATCTTGTGTTTGCCAGACGTGCTCATAGGTTTCTTGGAAATAAGTCAGTCAGCATGAAAAAAAAAAGAAGAGATTTATCAACTAAAGAATTCTTCGTCGGCTAAGACCAAAACATCCGATTAGTCTACTAATCGACTGAGAGCGGGCAGACCTATTGTAACTTTGGCTTCATTAATGGATAATACATCACTATAAAATGTTGTAAATCATCAACTTTTCAGTTGCAAGGTTTTTAAACCTCCCTTTGACTGGTGAGATCATTTAACCACTCGATTTGATGATTGACACTATGTTACTTTAAATAAGAGTTCCTGGTCCACTTCTCAGGTAGAATAAAGCTTAAATAGACATTTCCATCAACAGTAAATTGTATCTCAGCAGGTCTTCCACCTTCACTAGCTCTGACGAACAGAAACAGAGCTGCTCTGTCATCTCTTTAATTAACAAAGTGTGCCAGATTGTGGCCACTTTCAGCTCTCTTGGCCGTCGAGCGCACGCATCTTTTAGTGAGCAGAGTTCAAGTTTATTGAGGCTGACAGACAGTAGTTAGCTAATGCTTCGCCCATTGTGCAACTAGGTTGATACTTTTCCTGTAATTATGGAAGGCTGTGTAACATCCAGTCAGGGCTTGCCAGCCGACTCTGCCCTCTTCCACCCTGACAGCTCCGTCGCCGTCTCCGGAGCTCGCTGCTCTGTTGCAACGAGGCATGTGAGAATGCTACTGCGGCATTTCTTCAGTGTTCATCATCCTTCCTCAACAAACATTCCTTTATGTTACCTCATCTGCAACACTTTCAACTCCCCACATTTAGCAATCATAAGCAGTATAAATGCTAAATAATAAATGCTTTGTATCACACTTTAATGTAGTTTTAAGCAGATGTTATTGTATATTAATGTACATTTCAACAGTTCTAACTTCTCCTACGACGACATATTTTGTATTATTACAACTGTGTTTTATTATATTGTCATTCATTATCTGTTTATACACCAGCCTCCACTTATGGGTGCTTCACCACACGAGGACTTGTAGTTGTTGGCTTGTAATTAATAATCACTGATATCTGCTTTCAACCACATTGATTCAATGTTCATATACTGCTTTTCAATGCTAAAAATAAAAGATCCTGTATTTTCACTTCCAAGGTTGTCAAAATAAGCTTTCCTGAGAGGCACTCGAGGACACACAAGAATTGTTTTTACTTTCCCATGTTGTGGGTCAGTGCTGAGAATAGCTGGTGAGTGCCTCGTCGGTGTCCATAGGCATGTTAGCATGTGATGCCAATGGGCCGTGTTTCCGCTTTCAAGGAATGCTTTCAAATACTTCACAGTCCCGGAGGCTGCCCCAGCTCCAAGGGAGAGTCATGGGGCAAAAAGCAGCCCAGCCCTGCAGCTTCACTGCAATCAATTATGAGTCACATGCTTCAACAATTGAGTGTGACCGGGGCAGTCTTTGTTTTAGCAACACTGCCTCTTTAATAAAGGAGAATCAGCACTTAATGGTATGTAACACAATTCCCTTCACTGTGTGGGGGCTAAGTAGCCCTCACACATGCGAGGCCTCATGGCTCATCGGTCCTGGGTCCACTGAGCCACAGTAATGCCATGCGATGTGACAGTAGCGTCTCTGTGGGGACGATGCAGTGCAGTGCCACGGCCTTGCCATGGGTGCAATTGGTTTGTTCGGCTCGGGAGCTTCTCCTTCCACGCAGTCGTGTAGTGCTGCAACTGCTGACTTAGCCAGAGTCATGAGGAACTACAAAGTGGGCTAATATGAGAAACATTTTCACGACTCGATTATTCACTGTCCAAATGCCTGGGGGAGTGTTTTTTTTTGGGGGGGGATTGGCTGTGATTCATTTTAACTTTGAAACATCATCTGTGTGTAGTGCAGTTATTTCTCTCCTCATTGACAGAGGTGATACTCACTCTCCTACGCTTTTATAGTCTGAATGCCCTGATGCACAGTCACCAACAAGAGTACTACAGACTCTTTTGCTCTTCTACCATCAGCAAGCAGTATGTCTTATTTGAACGTGTCAAGAATTATCGATACATGATCAGGGACCTCTTATGAAAGGGTTATAAGGTCTAACTAATGGCTTTATTAATGTTTCATCAATCAGTCAATCAGGGCTGCAAATAACGCTAGTTTTCACTGTCAACAAATCTGTTGAGCAATTTTCCATTGAATCAA